ATTTTTTTATTTTTTTATTTGTTTATTTATTTATTGTGTGTGTATGTGTGTGTGTGGCCAGCTCAGCCCACGAGGGGGCGGTGCTGGCTGGCATGTGGTGCTGGGGGATTGAACCGCGGTCCCTGTGCTTTGCTTAGCTTAGCTTGTTCTAAGTAGGTGCTTTAGACCACTGAGCCATCTCACCAGCCCCAGTGTAAACCTTTTTGTGTGTGGTTTTTTGTTTGTTTATTTTTGAGGTAGGGTTTCACTGTGCAGTTCAGGCTGCCTTTGAGCTCACTGTGTAACCCAGGTTGACCTTTAACTTGTGGCAATCTTCCTGCCTCCACTTCCTTAGTGCTTGGATTACAGGCATGCAGCACCACACCCAGATAGTATAATTTTAAAATAAAATTATTTTGTGCTGCATGGGTAAGACATTTACTATTGTATTCTCTAAAAGGAGGAATTAGAAATGGTCATGTATTGTTTATAAAGAGTTTTACGAAATTGGTACAGTAATACTTAAACTTAGGAGTCTTTTTGTCTCTAATTCCAAATCCAAAATGGTGTTGCTTAATCAATTTTAAAAGTCTTTATAATCTTGAACTTTTTATTAACTGTGTAGTACAGATAATTTTACATTGGAATATTATTTTGGTAGTATTATTAATATTTGATATTTTTCAAGATATTGTAGCCTGTATTTTTATTGTATTATTTTTCTTTAATTTAGATGGGACTAGGAAAGACAATCCAAGCAATTGCAATTGCTTATTTCTATAAAGAGGAATGGCCTCTTTTAATAGTTGTCCCTTCATCGCTGAAGTACCCTTGGACGGAAGAAATAGAGAAATGGATCCCAGAGCTAGAGCCTGAAGAAATCAATGTTATTCAAAATAAAATTGATGTTGGGTGAGAACAGCTTTTCAATCTCTAAGAATAAAAGAAATTTTCTTTGTGCATATGAGGTATATATTCATGTTTAGAATTAGATATTACCTACAGATATTCATTTAGAAATGAGAGTAATGTAGAGAATTTCGTTTTATTTTTTAAAATACAATTTATTGATCTGGAAACCCAATAATGTATTTATCTCTAAGTTCCCTTACAGTGTTTGTTTGAGATAGGGTCTTACTGTGTAGGTCAGGCTAGTGTTCAACTCATATGTAACTCAGGCTGGCGTTGAACTTGGGTCAATTCTCTTGTCTCAGCCTCCCTAATGCTGAGATTATAGGCATATGCCATTACACCTGGCCCTTTGTGGTATGTTTTAAAATTAAGTGTGAAATATGTATTGTTTTAGAGATACAGAGACATTGTATACCTATATATGTTTAACTTAAATATACTTAAAACTAATTATTTTAAGAATTAACTGTAAATTTTACAGCTTTTCAGAGGTTAACATGATCAACAGCTACCATGGTAGATTTTGCTTTTCAAGTTGTTACTATGTAATTTTTAATTTTTTCAGGAGGGATACCAGGAATTGAGCTCAGAACCTTGCATTTGCCAGGCAGGAATTATACCACTGAGCTAGATCAATATGCAATATTTTGAGTTTAACTAAAAGTTAAATTATAAAGTTTTATTTTATTATGTTAATTTATAGTTTTGGTATTTTATACCTGGAAAATATGTGTTTGGTGATTATTTGAAGTCCTTACTCTAAAAATTTTATCATACTGTTGCTACTGTTTTTTCTATTTTTGCTTTCTAATCAGTAAAATAAGTAAACCAAGTTGAAAACTGATATGACTACATTGAACATCTAGTTAAATGATGTAAATTATTGTATTTCCAAATATTCAAAACTGTTTCTCAGACTTAAGAGCAATGCATGTACCTTAATAAAACATGTTAGTTCTTAAAAAATTTTAGTTGTAGTATTATACTATATTCATTATGACTATTAATATAAAGAATATTTGTAGAAATATCTTTGGCCTTCATTAATTCAGAATGAGGAAACAGGAAACATTTTAAGTAGAGGGCCTTTTCTCTTTCAGACTTGGAACCCAGATTCACTAGCATATACTTCTTTTTTTTAATATTAATTTTATTGAGAAAGAAGTAACAATGAGACAGTTTCAAAACAGGTTAGTAGGACAGTTACAATAATTAATAAATTGCATATTGTTTATGCAAAGACCTACATAACAAAAAATATAACTTTTGTATCTGACGAGGTCAGTCATTTCCCCTCAGGATTTACCCTGAAACCCTGTACAGCAGTTTGTAGATCCTTTGTCAGTGTTAGCCATGTAGATGAGTCACAGCCATTGCTTGGCCAATTTGCTTTCTGTGAAAGCCTGAGAGAATGTTTCTCTCCATGTGACTCTCCTTAGGCACATTTTACATCATTGATCACTTTCCTCTATGACCCCATAATCTCCTTGATCAGAATATTTGGGACACCACTGAGTTGCAGGATGTTACAGTACAGGTTCTCTTATGTCCTGAGTCCTCACTGACTTTGAAGGGCTAGGGCCCAAATGTTGGCTATCCTTGTAGCCCTTCTTTTTCTCTAACTTTTTGGTCTGCAAATTTAAGTTGTCAACCCTCCAGAAGAGAAGCTTAATGATATTATTACCTTAAAACATAGGCTGTTGAGGGGCTGGGGAGATGGCTCAGTGGAATAAGCACTTCCTGGCAAGTGCAGGGGCCTGAGGTCAATCCCCAATCCCGCCAAAACAAAAAACAAAAAACATAGGCTGTTGAGCTTAACATCAGTATCTGTCTGAATAGCAAATGCCTTAGACGTAACATGAAACAGGTATTTTCCATCAATTGTTGATAAAATTGAGAAGGATTTTTTTTTTTTTTTTTTTTCTTGCTCAGGTTTCCTTAGGGCAGGTCTGGTAAGGCATGAGGAACTGGGGATCAAACCTTGGTGTCCTGTGCCTGACTGCGTTTGCATAAGCAGGTGCTTGAACAACTGAGCTACCCAGCAGGCCCCCCATATACTTCTACTGGTCCATGAAAATTTGGACATTTTGTTAATATAAAATATAGGCAATCATTATAAATAGATTTTTCTCCTTCTAAAATTGAAAAAATAAGAATTTAGACTATTGAATTTACTAAGGTTTCCATAACTTTTTTCTCATCTATATTGTACTTAAATGTCTACATTTAAATTTTATTAAAATTTGTGTCCTTTATTATTTATGTAGCATTTAGGTCATAAGTGGTTTTTTGTTTTTGCACTGTTTAAGATTCAACCCAGGGCCTTTATATTGAGCTATAGCCCCACCCTTTTTCATTTTGAGATTGTTTCACTAAGTTGTTAAATTACTTCAACTTGGCTTGAATTTTCAATCCTCCTGCCTCAGCTTCCCAGAGTGCTGGGATTACCCTCATATCCAGTTTAGGTTATCTAGTTTTTATTATTATCTTAGAAATATACTCTGCATTAAATAGTGGCTGATACTTTTATTTGAATAAGACTTGGGGTTTGTTAGATAGAATTACAACCCCATAGTGTATTTTCTGTAAGATGTTAGCTATGGAGCTGGTGAGATAGCTCAGCAGACTAAAATCCCTCTTAGGCAAGTGCAGGGACTGTGGTACAATCCCTGGCACCACATGCAATGCCAGCCCCACCCCCAGGGTGGGCTGAGCCGGCCAGAGTCCCTGAGTTGTGGCACTTGCCTGTAATCCCTGTGCTGGGGAGGCTGAAAGCAGGGGGACCACCATGAGTCTGAGCTGGGTAGTGAGACCCTGTAACAACCAAATACATTAAACCAAGCAAGAAAGATTGACAGATAGATAATTAGCTATGGACAGAAAAACTACTCAATGTCTTCTACATCTTTAAAGAGGCAGCTTTAGGTATAAACGAAGATGATCAACAGTTGTTGATCATAAATATATATACTTCCCTCTGGTATATGATTCCATCAATGCTTGGATTGTTCACTAAGGCATGGCAGCATCGAGCCTGCTGCAGTGGGCTACTAATCCTTTGTCTGCTATATATTGTTCACAGTTTGCTGAAGTTATACTAATATCTTACTTTACTTTCAGGGTATTCTGATGTTTTAGTATATTGAGAAAATCATCTCTGTGTAAAATTATTCAGGGTGTAAAGTACAGTTGCCATATTTTTTTAAAAAATGCATTTGTTTTGATGATATTGGCTACTATGAACTTCTGGCCTTTTTTTTTGTAAAGAGTCGAGAATGGCAAAAGACTGACTTTTTTATTTATTTATTTATTTATTTATTTATTTATTTTTGCAGAAAGCTGACTTTGTCCTGGGTTTTTCACTGATGATACAGAAAATTCCAAAGTGATATGTTTTATGTCCACAAACTTATTTATCAAATTATCTCAAATATAATATTTGTACTAATATTGTTTAGACAGGATATTCATGTCAGGGTCAGCCAAATAGCTCAGCAGATTAAAGTGCCTGAAAGTAGGCGCAAGGGCCGGGGGGGTTCAATCCCCAGGGCAGGCCCTGCCTCCCCAGGTTGCAGTGAGACTGCAGTTGAGACTGGGCATGGTGGTACATGCCTGTAATCCCAGCTCTTGAGAGGCTGTAACAGGTGGATCACTATGAGTCTGATCTAGTAGTGAGACCCTGAACACCCTGTAGACCCTTCCCAAAAAAAAAAAAAAAAAAAAAAAAAAGGTAATCATGTCTACATCTTGTCCTCTGAATAACTACTATGAAGACAACAATATGCAATGTATTAATTATTGTAACTGTTATACTAACCTGTTTTGAAACTGTTTCATTGCTATTTTATCTTTTTTCTCATTAAAATGAATAAGAGATTAAGAAAATGTAATACAGCAAAAAAAAAGTCTCATATAAATATTCATTGGTAGAACCATACAAAGATGAAAATATGCATTCTGTACCCCACCACTTTTATGATACAGTAAGGGAAATACATAAATATGAATTATATCAGAAATATATAAATGTATATTTCAAGATAGTAACATAAAGACATAGAGATTAAAAGACCAGGGATCACTTTATTTAAATTGTTCTCTATGTAAGATGATATCCTTTTCTTTTATTCACACTTTATCTCCCCAGGACCAGTAGCCTTTTTTATTTATCACAGTGACTGGGGGACTCCAATGACCTTTAATATGGAGAACCAAATGTAGTTACTTTTCTCACCTTGCTGTGACAAAATGCCTTACACCCAAGGTTAAAAGGTTTGTAGAGGTTTCTGTCCATAATCTGCTAGCTCCAAACATCCCGACACATGGCAGAGTGGCTACAGTTCATGGTGGCAAAAGACAGCAAAAATAAAGAGAGAGAAAAAGAGAGAGCTAGCACTCACACCCTTACTCCAGCATTAGGCCATGTATTAATCACAAACTCTAGATTCAGCCACCTCTCAGAAGCCTGCCCTGTATGACCGACCGCCTGAGGCTTTGGGAGGGTCATTCAGATGCAAACCATAACACAGGAAAAATGAGCTGTTCTGTAGTACAGTGGATAGTCCTATTATACTAAGGATTGTCCTGATCAAAGTACTGAGGAAGTTTTATTTTAGTTATGTGAAGGATTTCATCAAAGAATCACCTAATATTTGAATATCCAGCTTATATATGATCCTGGGTAGACAGAAGCAAATATTGAGAGGTAATGTTCTTTTCCTAGAAAATGTAGCTTAAAGGGTATAAAAATTTTCCAAAGACAACTTAAAATTTTGTGAAGATTGCCAAAAGTTTTAATTTTGATCCTGGTAAACTATATTTGAAGACTAAAATCTTAAAGTTGGGTTTTACCAGTATTTTAGTCTACTCTTATAATGCCCCTTTTGTTTTATTCCTCAAAAAGTTGTATTATTTATGATTTATTAATTACTGAGACATTTTTAAAGAACACGTTTTTCCCCCTAGGAGAATATCGACCAGCAAAGTGACAGTTCTGGGCTATGGTCTTTTAACCACTGGTGCAGAAACTTTGATAAGTACTGTGAGCAACCAGAACTTCAAAGTAGTTATTGTGGATGAATCACACTACATGAAGTCTAGAACTGCAACACGCAGCAAGATTTTATTGCCAATAGTACAGAAAGCCAGACGAGCTGTTCTTCTTACAGGAACTCCAGCTTTGGGAAGACCTGAAGAGGTACTAAAATCCTTATACTAAGGAGGCTTGAAAAAAGAAAAGGAAATTCAATCACTCATGTTTTCCAATTCTTAATTTCAAATTAGGTGCCATAAGTAGTGGCACGTACCTATGATCACAGTTAGTTGGGAGGCGTGGGCAGAGGATGGTAAGTTCAAAAGCATCACAGGCCCACCCATGGGGGGCACTGAGAAGGTGATTGTGCCTGGGCATGGTCGTGTGTGCCTGTAATCCCAGCACTTGGGAGGCTGAAAACAGGAGGATCATTATGAGTCCAGTCTTTGTAATGAGACCTTGTAGACCCTGCCCTAAATATATAAAAACATTAAAAAAAAAATCACAGGCAATATAGTAAGATTGAATTTCAGAATGAAATTTAAAAAGGGATGAGGATATCCGTCAGTAGTAGAGTGTTTGCCTCATGATTCAAGCTCCAGACCTGGGAAAAGAAGGCAAGAGTATATTCAGGGGCTGGAGAGATAGCTCAGAGATTTATGCACCAGCCGGGAGTTTAATTCCCCAGTACAAAAAAAACAAACAAACAAACAAAAAAAAAAACCCAAAGAGTATATTCAGAATCCATGGGCATCTATTATAATTAAATGCATTCTGCTTTATGACTATTTTAAAGCTATTTGCATGTGAGCCTTAGTCTGGCTTGTTGGTATATATAGAAATAGTTTTTACCTTTATTTTAACAGTTCCATATTTAGTATAGATTTGTGATATTGTTTACATGTATTCTTGAGGTTCTTTTGTGGTGTTTATCATATTTATTAATAAACTATATATACTATCTATAATAAACTTTATAAGCTATCTAAGATTGAGGATAAATCTACTTTATGTCTTTTGCTCTACATTGCAATATTTATCTCTGTTCTCACTTCAAGATCCACATTTGGGGAGCCAGTGAGAACAGAGATAAATATTATAGCTCAGCAGTGTAAGTACCTGCTTGGCAAGCTCAAGGACCTGGGTTTTATCCCCAGTACCACATGCCGTGCCACCCTGCACCGTGTCGGCCACAGAAACTGGCTATAATGGCACATGGTTGTAATCCCAGAGCTGGGGAGGCTAAGACAGGAGAATCACTATGAGTCCAAGCTGTGTAGTAAGACTCTATACCAAATAAACCAATGAATCTTAAAAGAAAAAAAAAAATCTACATTGGAGAAAGTAGAGAGAAACTATAGCATGTGTATAGTCTAAATAAGGTATCTACTTAGAGTGGAAGAATGAAGTATTTGTTTAGTACCCATACAGCTTTTACCACTCCAAATAAGATATCTACTTAGAATAGAGGAATATAGTATTTGTTTAGTACCCATAGAGCTTTTGGCATTCTGAAGGTAGTTTATGGTAGTATGGAATGGTTGCTGGGTTGGGAAGAAGAAATGACTAGTGAAACTTTTGTGAATCTGTAAGGGTCCATATTCCCTAAGGGAAACCTGTCTGCTTGTGAACACTGAGCCGTAACAGTACTGGGATCTTGTCTTGTATGGCTGTTTGGAGAATTAAAAAAAATACTGCTGTTTTTAATGTTTAAAGTAGCTTGATCAAGACTGGGAAGCAACCAAAATCTTCTTTAGTAGATGAATGACAAATAAATGGATGGTGTAAAATATTGTATTTTTCAAATATCTGGTATAATTCAATGATAAAGCCACATGGACTTGAGCTTTTGTTTGAAGCTAATTTTTGTATTACTAATTCAGTCTCCTCTGTGTCCCCAGATTTTTTTTCTTTAATCAGCTTTAGTATATGCTATCTTTCTAGGAATTTGGTCATTCATCTAAGTTATTTACTGTATTATCAAACAGTTGGTTTTAGTATGCTCTTATTATGCTTTGTATTTCTGTGAGATTGGTAGTAATACCCCTCTTTCATTTGTGATTCTACCAATTTGAGCCTTTTGTTTCTCTTGGTCAGCCTCGCTAAAGTTTTGTGTGTGTGTGTGTGTGTGTGTATTTTTTTTCTTCTTTTTTTTTTTTTTTTTTTTTTTTCTCATTTTAGGGAAGGATCTACAGCTATATCCCTGGTCCAAGAGCTGGGATTACAGGCACACACCACCATACCCAGTCTCAATTGCCATCTCAGGGCGCCATGGAGGCGGGGTTGTCAGGCAGGCCTGGGGATAGAATCCCCAGTCCCTGCACCTGCTTACAGGTGCTTTTACTTTTTATTTTATTTATTGATTTTTTTTTGGTGGAACCAGGGATTGAACTCAGGCCCTTGCACTTGCCAGGCAAGCGCTTATTCTACTGAGCCATCTTCTCAGCCCCTTTGCAGGTGCTTTTAATCCGCTGAGCTGTTTGGTCAGCCTAAAGTTTTGTTAATATTATTGACCTTTACACAAACTAACTTTTGTTTTGGTAGATTTATTTCTACTGTTTTGATTTTACTTTGCTTTGTTTTCCAGGTAGAAAGTTAGACTTGGTTTAAGATTTTTGCTCTTTTTAAATTTAGGCATATGCAGTTGTAAATTTCTTTCTAATCCCTGCTTTTTCTGCAACTCATACTGTGGTATGTTGTGTCCTGAACATCATTTATCTCAAGGTATTTGTTAACTCATAATGTCCATGTGAGTTTTTTCTTTGTTCCAGTGATTTCTTAAGAGTATGTTAGCATATAAGAAAGGTGTAAAGCACCAAAGTTGTTTGGGAAACATTTGGGCAGTTCCCTTAAAAGCTAATCAGAACCACAGAGATATATGTGTGCCTGTTTGTATACAGGGAGAATTTGTAATAGCCAGATCTTGGAAATAGTCCTAATGGCCATCAATTAAGGAATCAATAAAAAAGTTGTCTTTTTATACAATGGCATGCTACTCATCCATAAGGAAGGATGAACTGGAGAATTTTATAGGTAAATGGATGCAACTCGAGACCATATTCGTAAGTGAAATAAATCAGACTCACGTGTAAACATTGTATTGTCTCCCTAGTGTAAAAAGCTGAAATGGTAAATATGATCCATAAAGTACAGTAGATATTGTGAAATGCGAAGAAACTTCAAAAAGAAAGAGAAACTGGGATATGGAAAGGAGAAAGGAAGGGTAAAAAAGCAAAGATATATATCTTATGTATGATAGTTATATACTAATTTCTCTTATTGGAAAGAGTTGTCCTAATATTGTTTAGATAATTAAATAGCTATATCTTGTACTCTAAGTAACTTAAAGATGACAATCCGCAATGTATTCATCATTGTTACTCTCCTATTATCTTGTTTTGATTTTTTCTTTAAAATAAAAATTTAGGACCAGCCATATAGCTCAGTGGATTAAAGAGCCTGCAAGCAGGTGCAAGGGCTGGGGGTTCAATTCCTGGGCCTGTCATGCCGCCCTGTCGTCCCCAGGGCACGCTGAAACAATTGAGACTGGGCATCGTGGCACATGCCTGTAATCCTAGCCCTTAGGAGGCTATAAACAGGCAGAACACTACAAATCTGATCTAGTACTGAGACCCTGAAGACCTTGTAGACCCTTCCCTAAAATACAAAAAATAAATAAATAATAAAATAAAAATTTAAAATTCCACAGCCATGGAATCAAGCTAAATAAACTAATTAACCAAAATGACCTTGAAATAAAAATTTAAAAATGAAAACTAAACATAGAGTTGCCATCTGACCCAACACTTCTGTTCCTACATACTATATATCCAAGAGGACTGCGGATATGTTTACAAAAGGTTACATTCAAATGTTTATAGTATCATTCATGATATCCAAAATATGGAAATAAAAGATCATGTCCTTAATAAGTTAAATGTGGTATATGCTTACTATAGAATATTATTTGGCTATGCTGCCATATGGATGAATCTTGAAAACGTGCTAAATAAAAGAAGCCAACACATAAAGCAGATTAAATGATTTTTGTTCATATAATATACCAAGAATAGGCATATTCATGAAAACAGAAAGTATGTTAGTGGTTACTAAGACTAGAAAAGAGAAGAACTAGACTGTGACTGCTAATGGGTATGGAGTCTCTCTTTGGGATTAAAAATATTCCAAAAGTAGATTGTGGTGATCAGTGCACTCTATGAATATACTGAATGCTACTGAAGAATATGAACTTTCTGGTATGTGAAGTTGTTACTTTTTAAAAGCCTATGGCCAGGTGACTCAGCCTGTTCTCCCAGAATTTAGGAGGCTGAGGCAAGAGGATCACTGTGAGGCCAGCCCAGGCTACATAGTGAGTTCGAGGAAGGCTGAATTACATACTGAAACACCCTGTCTCAAAAAAGAAAAATGAAAAAAAAAAAAAAAAAAAAAAGCCTATTAAACTAGCAGTGTGGTATTATTATATTTAGTCTACAAGATTATAAAAATGACCCTAAAAGGCTTCATGGATACTAATAATGGATGTGTAGATTGGGATAGTGTCTTTACTGGCCAATATACTAACATTTATTAAGGCATCTTCCCCATCTGTAAAAATATACCCCATTAAAATCTAGTAAACATTCAAGCAGGTAGATGGATAGTTGATGTCACACAGAATTATATGAAGTTTAAAAAAAAAGAATTATATGAAGTTATTAAATTGTAATTGCATAAATCTAAAAACAGAGTAGGTGGCCAATATCAGGCATCTGTTTAAATATTTTAAAGTACAGAAGGATTTTTTTTTGGGGGGGAGGGGACTGGCTCAGGATGCCTTCAGGGCAGGTCTAGTAAGGCTTGAGGATCTGGGGATCGAACCACAGCAACCTGAGCCTGACTGCTCTGTTTAAGCAGTCACTAGACAACTGAGCTAATGGGCAGGCCACCTTTAAAGTACGTATAAATAGCAGTGGGCATGTATTTAAGCCTTTAAAAAGTATGATATTTTGATTACAGAATTTTAAAAAATAATATACTTTAAATGTGTCTATCACATATTTTGGAAATCACTTTAATTGTATAACATGTATGATATTCTTCATAGAAAAATATATAGATTTAGAAAGATAACTGTTGTTCCTGAGGAATGGGTGGGAGTTTAACAGATGGAAAGGCTTTGAAGTAGGTGAAGATTTTCTTTAATACTTTTTACTATTTATTAATTTATTGTATCCTTCTGACAGTTTACTTGGAAATATTACATATTGATAACCCTTGTATTGTTACAGCTATTCATGCAGATAGAAGCTCTTTTTCCACAAAAATTTGGAACGTGGACTGACTATTCAAAAAGATACTGTAACGCACATGTCAGGTATGACAAACTATTTTCCATGAACTTTTATTTTCAGGCATTTTCTCTGAATATTAAGCATTATTAGTCATTCTTTGTTTCATTGTTTTTTCAGACTTATGGCAATCGTAGGGTAATGTCTTCAAGTAAAAACTTGTGTGTATGACTTGCATGTCAAATAAGCAAAAGAAATACAAATGGCAAAATTCATCTTTCTTTTTTTTAACTCTCCACCTTTTTTAATCTTTGAAATTCTTTATTTTATTCTTTTATTTTTAATTGGTCTTCATGCGTATTATACAGAAATGAAAAATACTTCTTCCTTTGCCCCTTTTCTCCCAACCTTTTTCTTGTAGGGTAACTGATCTTGACAATTTCTTGTATTGCTTATGCTTCTGGAGATATCTGTGCCTATATATGCATGTAAATTATTTCTGCATACATAGAATAATATACACATTTATTCTGCAGTTTGGTTTGTTTATTGCATGTAGAGATCCATATCAGTTCCTAAAAGAACACTAGCATTTATTTATTTATTTATTTATTTATTTTTCTTCCTTTTTTTTTTTTTTTTTTTTTCTTTTTTCATTTGTGTATTTGGTACAGGGTCTCACTCCACAGATCAGATTCCTTGTGATCCTCTTGTTTTCAGCCTTCCCAGCACTGGGATTACGGCATGCGCCACTGTCGCTGCTCAGCGTGCCCCGGGGGCTGGCCCGGCATGCAGGACCATGGTTCAAACGCTGGTCTTTGCGCTTGCCAAAGCAGGCACTTAGTCCACTGAGCTATCTGGCATTCATTTTAAATGTCCTATATACCCCCTGTTAGGAATTTATTTATGCAGTATACCTTTAATACATATTTCTTTGTAGTATATAACTCATGCAACAATGATTCTCCCCATGTGTGTGGAGAGGAGATATCTATCTATCTATCTATCTATCTATCTATCTATCTATATTATGATGATTTATTATTATTATTATTATTATTATTATTATTTTGTATTTTAGGGAAGGTTCTATAGGGTGTTCAGGGTCTCACTACTAGATCGGACTCGTAGTGATCCACCTATTTACAGCCTCCCAAGAGCTGGGATTACATGCCCGTGCCACCACACCCAGTCTCAATCGCCATCTCAGTGCACCCCAGGGGCAGGGCCGGCATGGCAGGTGATGGTGATTTAAAATCATAGAAATCTGGGACTGGTGAGATGGCTCAGTGGTTTAAAGCACCTACTTAGAACAAGCTAAGCTAAGCAAAGCACAGGGACCACGGTTCAATCCCCCAGCACCACATGCCAGCCACCCCGCCCCCTGGTGGGCTGAGCTGGCCACACACACACACAAAATAAATAAAAAATAAAAATATTAAAAAAATAAAAAAATAAAATCATAGAAATCTGAGCCACGCTTGGTGGCACGTGCCTGTTATCCGAGCTTGTAGTAGGCTGAAATAGGAGGATCACTGCAAGTTCAAGACCAGTCTAGGCTACATGGTGAGTACAAGGCCAGTTTGAACTACCCAGCAAGACCCTGTGTCATAAAACTCAAGCAAACAAACCAAAAAAGGCCATGGAAATCTACTTATATCATCTGTGTTTTTTTCTCACATTTACTGCTCCCCAAATATTTTATGTGAAGAATGGAAGTTTATTTCCTCATACTCATTTTCTTCAGCCATGAAAACAGATAATTATCATGCCTGCCTCATGGAGTTATCATCAGACTTACATTAACTTGTATGTATAAAGGATTTAAATAGTGACTTACATATTGAGTAATCAGTAATTGTTAGCTGTTTTAATACTTTATGCCATCTACATGATCATAAATTTGTATGCACCAGCCTGATAGCTCAGCAGACTAAAGCACCTACTTATGCAGAGCTCAGCGACTGGGGTTCAATCTCTGGCATGTGGTGCTGGCCCCACCCCCGGGGCATTCTTAGTTGGTGATTGAGACTGGGCATGGTGGTGCCAGCCTGTAATCCCAGCATTTCGGAGGCTGAAAACAGTAGAATTATTACTAGTCTGATCTAGTAGTAAGATCCTATAGACCCTGTAAACCATGTCCTAAATACAGAAAAATTAAATAAATAAATTTATAAAAGTGACATTGCTGATTCAAAGGATATGTACATTTTATTTTTTATTTTTTGCCCAACCCTAAAATATGAAAATTAGAACAGAACCTAATATAATTCACCAGTTACATTTAGAATATCCTGAATGCAGTATTCTTTCATGATTTTTTAAAAATTTATTTATTTATTTATGAGTGTGTGTGTGTGTGTGTGTGTGTGGCCAGCTCAGCCCACCAGGGGGCGGGGCTGGCTGGCACGTGGTGCTGAGGGATTGAACCGCGGTCCCTGTGCTTTGCCAACTTTGTTCTAAGTAGGTGCTTTAGACCACTGAGCCATCTCACCAGCCCTCTTTCATGACTCTTAACGACATTGTAATATGACACCTCTTATCTGACATGCATGTACATTTTAGATTTTCCTTAGTTATATACCTGAGAAGTTATTTTGCACCAACTGTGTGTCAGGTTGTCTCTTTCCCTGTGATTTGCCAATGTTAGAAAATATAAATTATTTTATTCTTGCCTGCATGCAGTTTTAATATGCATTTGTCTCATATTTTTAAGGATAATGGAACATTTTATCATATGTATGTATATATTAACATAATT